GGAGCAGGCCCCAGTGAGGCCTTCCTCTCCGCAGACCGAGTACGCACAGCTGGAGAACGGGCGCTTCGTGTACCGCATCCACCGCTCGCCCATGTGTGAGTACATGATCAACTTCATCCACAAGCTGAAGCACCTGCCCGAGAAGTACATGATGAACAGCGTCCTGGAGAACTTCACCATCCTGCAGGTGAGCGGTGCAGGTGTGGGCTCGCGGGTCTCCGGGAGGCCCGACCCATTGCTCAGAGAAAGAGACTGAGCCCCTAGGGGAGCAGGGGCTGCTCAGCCCACACCCCCAGGCCCTGCGCTGCCTGACCTCCTGAATCCTCCTGCCCGGCCCCAGGTGGTCACCAGCCGCGACTCCCAGGAGACCCTGCTCGTCATTGCTTTTGTCTTCGAAGTCTCCACCAGCGAGCACGGGGCCCAGCACCACGTCTACAAGCTCGTCAAAGACTAGGGTGCCCTCTGCCCCACCACCAGGATCCAGGACGAGCCTCTTCTCACACACCTGCCTGGCACCCAGGGGTCCAGGATTGAGGACCCATCTGCCTGCCAGGCCTCGGGCCCAGGGCCAGGAGGCCTCCCCACCTGCTCCAGCACACACCCCCTGCCACTGTTCTGCGCTTTAACTGTGGGAGAAGGGAGGGGGCTCAGCGAGGGGGCAGCCTGGCTGGGTCGCCAAGCCACCATCACTTTGGTCTGCCCAGCCTCAATGAATGGGAGGACACCTTTGGCTCAGGTGTGTGTGGCCACTGGCCCCTCAGGGCTGTGACAGGTGGGTGAGGGAGACTGGAGGGGAGGCGGAGTGCAGAGGCCAGGAAGGAGTGTGGAGCTGGGGTTGCTCTGAGAAGAGAGAGGCCCACACTGTCTTTGCACCTGCCATGTGCCAGGCCCCAGTGCCTCCTGCCATCCTCTGACCTGCAAAGCAGTCATGGGTCTCGGTGTCACAGATGAGGAGTCTCGGGGGAGGGATCGGGGCAGAGTTGGAGTTCTCACCAGGGCTGCCTGTCCCGAGCCTAGTTTACACACCTCCCTGCCTCGGACGGCCCCAGGCTGGGGAGGGGCTCTACACTGAGGGGCGGGGTCGGAGCCCCTGACACGGGGAGCAGCTGCCTCTGACCAGCAGGGAAGGGGAGCAGCAGGTACTCAGCACCTGTTGGGCGCCCTCTGTCAGCCCAGCATCCAGCCAGGGCCCCGGGAGGGAGCCTCCTGCGCCACTTCCCCCATGCTGCCCTGGCCCAGATCCTTTGCCAGGCTCCCCAGCAGCCGCCTGACGGGGAAGGCCCCCAGGGGCAGGCCCAGGCTCAGAAGCAGGCTGGAGGGCCAGGTAGGAAGATGCCAGCCCCTGGGCAGATCTGTGGCCCGGGCACGAGAGGCCGCACAGGCTTCGGTATTTTCTCTTGCCCAAGTGAACCCTCAGCGGTGCCACTACCTTGCTCTTCCCGGTGCCAGTCTCCCTGCCTGGAGCAGCTCCCCAGACCTCGTTCTGGGACGGAAGGTGAACCCTGCCCACTGCCTCTTCCCACCATCCGGCCCCTCAGCGCCCGGCCTCCGGGCATCGATGAGTTTCATATGAAGTACTGTGCCCTTCCCTGCCCTGCCCTGCCCCCCACCCCTGAGCTTCCTGAAGGTCCTCACAGTTTGCATATCGCTCAGGCCACCTCCAAACCCAACCTAGGTTTTATAATGTATATTATATATATTTTTGTGTATTTTTTAAATCCAGCTGTGATGGGTTATATCATAAACGTGGCACAGGGCTGGGGCAGGCGCCCTCAAGGCCTACTCAGAAAGAGAAATTAAAGTTATTTGTTTGTGGGTTAGTCGTGTGACCAGTTGTGTGCCAGGCCTCTGGGTTGGAACAGCTTCAGGGGGGCTCTCCCTGGTTATGTCCTGGTGTGTCACCTCCCCCCATCTTTTCTGGGGGCCCCCAAGCCCTACCCTCAGTCTAAAGAGGTGTGATTCTGGGGTCCCATGAACGCTTTCCAGCTTCAACCTTTCTCCATATCCACACCCCTCCTGCTGTGGGTTGCACACTGAACTGAGCCCAGCCTGCCCTGAGGTTTCCTGTTGCGCTCTCTCTCTCTCTCGCTCTCTCTCTCTCTCGCTCTCTCTCTCTCTCGCTCTCTCTCTCTCTCTCTCTCTCACACACACACACACAGAGAAAAGCCATTTATTTTGTCTTATGATCCTAGACAAAATAAATTCAAGCTAAAGACTGCCTATGGCACTTTTCTGCTTTCGGGGACCAGTTTTTATTATTACTAGAGGCCCAATGCACGAAATTCGTGCAAGGGTAGGCCCTCGCAGCCCCAGCTTCATCCGGAAGGTCGGAAGGTCCTCTGGCCGGTCATTCTGCTGTCCAGTCTAATTAGCATATTAGCTCTTTATTATATAGGATTATTATTATTATTACTGAGTTTTAGAGATACAGAAAGTGGGGGGAGAGAAACATCGATGTGAAAGTGAAATGGATGGAATAGCTTTGTCGCTAAGTGACGTGACTTGCCCAAGGTCACACACCTGCTGAGATGGGCCGCCTGCTAAATCCCCATGGTCTTCACAGTGTCTGCTGCTGTTCTCACCGGCCTGCCCTCACTTTACTCCCGAGGAAAGAGCCTCAAGGCGGGTGAGTGCTCTCCGCAGTGGATAGCTGCCAGCAGGGCAGGCCAGACCAAGCTGCCCCTGTCCGCCCAGGGAAGCACACAGCAGGGATGCAGCGTGGCCATGGGGTGGCCGTACCCTCGGTGGACATGCATTGTTTATCTGAAATTCAGATTTAACTGGGCACCCTGCGTTTTCTTTTTTAATTATTTTATTGATTTTACAGAGAGGAAGGGAGAGAGAGTTAGAAGCATCGATGAGAGAAACATCGATCAGCTGCCTCCTGCACGCCCCCTACTGGGGATTGTGCGTGCAACCAAGGTACATTACCCCTGACCAGAATCGAACCTGGGACCCTTCAGTCCGAGGGCGGATGCTCTGTCCACTGAGCCAAACCGGTTAGGGCGGCATCCTGTATTTTCATTTGCTAAATCTGCCAACCCTACTCCAGAATCTAGAGTCTTCTAGATCATTCTGGTCCAGCTCCAACTTTGCAGATGGGAAGCAGACTGAGGCACCTCTCCTCACTCAGCCAGTCAGGGGCAACGCTAGGATGCGAACTGCTCTGCCTGCCCCAAGCCCCTGCCCCTGGTGCACTACTTCAATGATCAGGTGGCCTTTGTCTTGGTCACCGAACTGGAGGGACTTCAGACTGTCACTAGTAGCATCTGGAGCTCCCACCAGGTGGGAGGGGATTCTGGAGGCAGAAATTGGCTTATGAAGGACCCTGGGGCTGGATGAAAAATCTAATCTCTGCACTAATAAGTAATGACATCGCCCTCTCAGTAGTTAGAGCATTGGCTTGTGCACTGGAGGGTCTGGGGTTCTATTCCTGGTCGGGGCATGTATGGGAGGCAACCAATCAATATGTCTCTGTCACATCAATGTTTCTCTCCCCTCTCCCTTCCACTCTCTAGAATCAATGGAAAAAATACACTCACTCCTCAAGTGAGGATTTAAAAAAAAAAAGTGATGACTCCTATTGAGTGATTGAAGTGTCCTCATGAGGGTTGTTGCCTTCACTACTCTCCTGGAGCAATCAGCCTTCGGTAACTGCTTTAAGAATAATGTAGGTCTCTCATGAAGAAAATTCAAGGAGTGCAATTGACCAGCCTCCTTGCTTTCTCTCTCTCTCTCTTTTAAAAAAATATATATTTTATTATTTATTTTAGAGAGGAAGGGAGAGGGAGAGAGAGAAACATCCATGATGAGAGAGAATCATTGATTGGCTGCCTCTTACACGCCCTCTACTGGGGATCAAGCCCATAACCCAGGCATGTGCCCTTGATCAGAATCAAACCCGGGACCCTTTAGTCTGCAGGCCGATGCTCTATCCACTGAGCCAAACCAGCTAGGGCGCTTTCTCTCTTTTCTTTACCGCCTGCCCCCAACCACAAATGTAACATGAAGTGGTGATGACTCACTGTGAGGTTACAGAGTAGGGAAGGAACCAGGATAAGGTGGGTATTGCCCTGGCCCGGTAGCTCAGTCGGTTGGAGCGTTGTCCTGATAGGTCAGGGTTGTGGGCTCCATCCCTGGCAGGGAACATACAGGAAGCAACCAATGAATGCATAAGTGGAACAACAAATGGGTGTTTTTTTCCTCTCTACTTCTCTCTCTAAATTCAACAAATAAAAATTATATATATAAAGAAGGTGGGTCTTGGGAGCCCAAAGCCCAGGCTCCGGCAGTGGCTCTCCTGTCAGGGTCTGTGGGAAGCTGTACAGAAGGGTCAACAAAGCTGGAGCCCAAAGAAGGGGCCTGTAGTCCTGTCTTTCCTGCCCCTCTGTTTCTGTTCTGATGTTTCTGGGGAAAAGGGAGGGTGCCATCTTTTCGTCAATTCCACAGTCAAAGCCAGAGCACTGCCCTGGGGGTTCATGAGGGCTCCTCATTTCCCTGCACACAACTGCTGGAAAACTGGGGCTCCCCAGGTATCTGAGCCCGGAATTATAACTCAGGTGCACACTGAGCTTTGCACTAATCATTCTGGAGGCTGGGATTTGATGAAATAGCTCAACCCTCATTTACAATAGATTCTGTCCCCCTCGCCCCCCGCCCCCCACACACACCAGATGCTGTGGGCCTCTGAGAGCAGCCTTTGGGTCTCTAAACAGATTCCCCAGAGCCCAGCTGAAGGTGGTGAGTGTGTCTAGTGTAGAGGTGGGTTTTAAGGACTCCTACAAAGTGGAGTAGGTTTAACTTAAATTCAGGTTCAGATCAATGCAGGAAGATTCAAGTTCCCAAGTAGTTCTAAAACATACCCATTTACCTTGCCTTAGAGTTTCCAAAACTTCTTTATAAACAAAACAAAACAAAACTACACTTACCATCTTCCAACTTTTATATATTAGTTGCCAGGTGTTTTATTTATTTATTTTTTTAAATATACAGTGGGGCCTTGACTTACGATCTGAGACCGAGCTCGTTAAGGAGCTCGTTAAGGAGCTCGTTAGCTCAAATTACTCTATCAACTCAATGCAAGAAATCGGCGAGACAGCTGGTATCTCAAAAAACTCATTAGTCGGGACACTCGTAAGTCAAGGCCCCACTGTAAGGGAGAGGGATAGAGTTAGAAACTTCGATCAGCTGCCTCCTGCACACTCCCTACTGGGTATGTGCCCGCAACCAAGGTACATGCCCTTGACTGGAATCAAACCTGGGACCCTTGAGTCCGCAGGCCGACGCTCTATCTACTGAGCCAAACCCGTTAGGGCGTTTCCAAAACTTCTTAAGAATTTTACTCCTTGGCTCATTGAGACAGGAGGTGTCATGGATTTTTCTCCCCATTCATCGGCACGGATGTCCTCCATTCAACCTGTCCTAAACCGGACTGGCATTGTGGACCAGGCCCAGTACCTTTACGTATGTGGTTGTACAGAATTACCATTTTTCAGTGCTCATTTTAATTGAGTACTAAGTGCCTGGCACTGTGCAAAGCACGTAATGCTTTTTAAAAAATATATATTTTTATTGGTTTCAGAGAGGAAGGAAGAGGGAGAGATGATGAGAGAGAATTATTGGTTGGATGCCTCCTGCACGTCCCCTACTGAGGATCAAGCCCGAAACCCAGGCATGTGCCCTTGACCGGAATCAAACCCAGGACCCTTCAGTCCGCAGGTTGACACTCTATCCACTGAGCCAAACCAGCTAGGGCTGTAATGCTTTTAAGTTTACTCTCTTTCATGTGGGTACCATCATCACCTGCACTTCCAAATAGAAAGCAAGAGTTTTAGAGACATTAACAGACTTGCTCAACAGGCTCCCCTGGCTCCCAAGTGCAGGGCTGAGGAGTCAAACGCAGGCAGTGGGGGACCTTGGGCCCTACAGGCAATTAATGACATGGCTGGTCTCGCATCCAGCAGGTTGAGTATACATCCGAGGCCACGAGAAACCTCTGAAACCTTGGCTCAGGATGCCTGCTCACGACAGGACACTGCAGATACAGATGTCTTTCTGGTCTTGGACTCATAGAGGTGGGCTGCACTGGGTGCCCATCAAGGAGCCCACCTGTTTGCTCTATGCCTTTGCCTCATGGCTCTATTTTCTCTTAATTGTACCCAGTGCCTTATAAGCAGCTTTGTGGCAGGGACAAGGCATCCTATATAATAAAAGTGTAGTATGCAAATTGTCCCCTCAACTGGGAGCACTGGGCCTCTAGCAAAATATACTCACACTTGTAAGTTACTTATTACATTCCTCTAGTTACTAAATCACAAATTTTCTCGCCCTATTTTTTAAGAAATATTTTTTAAGGGAGAGGGATAGAAACATTAATACAAAGCACTGCTGGGCTGCCTCTTGCATGCCTCCTACTGGGGATTGAGCCCACAACTGGATGTGCCCTGACCAGGGATTGAACCAGTGACCTCCTGATGTATGCATGGGTCGATGCTAAACCACTGTGCCAGACCAGCCGGGCTGCCTTTTTTTCTTGATTACAAAGATTACAGAAATTCAGAAATTCCCCCAAACCATTTAACTCTGAGTTAAACACAGTCAAATTTTATGTAAGCTTCCAATTTTTACTATGCATAAACACTTCAATAAAATTGGGCCCTAATTTTATAGCCAGCTTTTCCCCTCCTTAGGTAAGGGAACATTGTTAAACAAACCTATTTTATTACTCCTAACACTATAATAGACCAGAGAAAAGAGCAAGCTAGGCCTACCTTGAGAACCAAAACTCATCCGATCAGTGCTACTTTACCTGCAAATTTAACTTAAAAGCTAAAATGGCAAACTACTCAAGGTCTACTTTGAGAACCTTGTACACTTCTCAGTTCCAGGTCAGATGAACCTTGTTTTGAGAAGGTGCATTTTTACTTATGCTTTGGATTAGCCTTTCAGCTCTATTAAAGCTGTTGGGACACCCAGCCAGTGTTATTCCAGGTCATGGTTCAACCCTGCCTGGGTTGCTGGCTCAATCCCCAAGAAGGAACGTGCAGGAGGCAGCCCATGGGTGTTTCTCACTTCTCCCTTCTCTGAAATAAAAAAACTGGTGGGATGAACTCTGGCCAGTTTGGCTCAGTGGTTATCAAATGTCAGCCTTCAGACTGAAGGGTCTTGGGTTCGATCCTAGTCAGGGCACATGCCCTGAGTTGTGGGCTCAGTCCCCAGCAGGGGATGTGCAGGAGGCAACTGATCAGTGACTTTCATGATTGATGTTTCTCTCCCCCTCAATTTGAAATACCAATAAAAAAATATATTAAAAGAACTGGTGGGATGAGCTGGCCCCTTTATTTACCAAAGTTAAATGAAGCAGATTCAAGTGAAAGGTTTAATCACAGGTACTTCCCAGTATACCAAGCCACTGGCACTGGCACCAACAGGTAAGGGAAAGGGGCAGGGTAGGGCCTGGAAGTTTCCACAGCCTGATCCTACCATTTTGCAGGCAAATGTGAAAAAGCAAAAATGCTGCACCACAGAATGAGTGCTGAAAGCCATTTGTTTAAGGCTAGTGGGGGTGGTTTGATCAATTTAATGTTTGTCTAATGGGGAGAAGCTTGGTTTTTAACAAATCGCTTCTTGAACAGTCCTCCAGAATGAATTAGTTCAAGAACCAAGGTTCCAATATATTAGACCAATTTCTCAGTGTTTGTGGATTATTCCCATCAGCAACACCTAGGAACCCAAACTTCATTTGTAACAGCTGTGACCCTATGGACCAGGACCCCAAGTGAACTGATACCAGGGAGCAACAGGCTGGAGTCCTGGCCCTGCCCTCGCCCCTCCCCCAGTCACAGGCAGACAAGAGGTCACAGTGGCAGTGTGGTTTATTAGTTGGGCCTTAGTACAGGCGCTGGGGCTTGCCCATGGTGCTCTTGATGTACAAAGCCCGAACGTTCTGCCAGTTCTTTTTGAGCAATGACACCAGGAAATTGACAGCTAAGTGGATGTTGTACACAAGCTCATCATCTGTCATCTTCACGTGGCCAACAGCCACCGCCAGACACAGCACCTGTGGGGAGAGGAAGGTCAGTCAGGCTGGTGGCAGTGCTTTGGCCCAGGCTCTGACCAGCTTCAACCCTGCTCAGCGACAATCACATGTCCAAAGTATCACAGGAAGGCAAATCAGGGCTCCCATTACCATGGCTTAACTTACCTTCTTCATCTGGAACTTGATTGTGGATTTCACCTCATCCACTTTGGCCACCATGTTCTCATTGTGGGTCAACAAGGAAGGGAACTTGCCAACCTTATTCAGTCCGGGGCCCAGGATTCGTGGGATCTGCTTGATCAGAGACTCTGAAGCCAAAAAGGCATCGTACTTCCTGGCTGGTGAGGAGAATAAGCCATTGGGAGGCCAGCCCCCAAACGAACTCTGTAACCCAACCCAGCACAGGCACCAAGTCTGCAACCCCTTCCTCACTCCAGTTTGAGGGTCTCCACCCTCTGAACTCTTACTGGCAAAACATCCCCATAAAACCTGCTCTCAGAAGCCAGGCTGACCCACAATCCATGTGGCAACGGAAAACACTGGCTAATTCTGCCTTCCCACCTGCTCACTACATGACAACTGCAGGCCAGAGACTCAGAAGAAATTGGAACTTGAACTAGAAATTCCAGCTCAGAACACCAGCACCCGACTAGTCAACTTAACGGAGATCGTGGGTTTGACCCACACCTAGAGGCCACCGCCTTCTTCCCGCATAAAATTCAACCCTCGAAGCAAATAGACAAAGAACTTTCCTAAATCAAGTTAGCCAACCGCAGCACAGCCTTTGGTCACAATTCTACCCTCCTCGTCACTTTAAAACCCAAATGGTCTAAGCACCACTTTCCTCACCCCAGAACGGTCCACCCGCCCCCACTCACCCAGCTTCTTGACCAGCTTCTTATTCTTGTTGAGCTTCTTCAGCCCCTCCATGTCCATGTGCGGGATGTCCATGGCCTTGGCCTCGTCGCAGTGCTGCTGGTCCCCCAGCACGCACACGCAGAACTTGGGGCGGGGCGTGGACTTAAGCCTGTGTTTTGGGGACAGAGCAGGTCATGCCCAGCGCTGGGTGTCCAGGCAGGTGGACGGGCCTGGGGCCGCGGCAGCCAGAGCCTTACCCAGAGCGTCCGCGTTCGCCAGCAGCTAGTCTGGCTTCTCAAACTAGCCGGCGGGCTCGGCCGAGGCCTCCCCACGCCTCCCCTCTTGTTTTAAGACCCAGGGTGGGGGTCCGCCCGGCCGCGCCTGC